ATAGTACCCCCCAAAGGTACCCCACAAATTAGAACCCTATTACTTTAGAATTCTTATTCGCTCCTTAAAACGTGAGGGGTACCTCTGGGGTGGGGGCAGCTTCCTGGTTCGGACGCATCCAGGATCCTGTGGCTGTCCTAGTTTGTCCCTTCCCCATCCTCTCTGAACGTCATGCCCCGCTCCCTAGTAAAGGGTGTTATGGGGGTTATATAGGGNNATATAGGGGTTATATGGGGGATATGAGGTGATGGAGGGTTTAGGGTTTATATAGCTCTTTACTGATGGCCTTGTCGATGCCGGAAGGGGAGTTGTGGGTGATGATGCCCCGTGGTGCTTTGGACCCGCACCAGTATCCCACGGACGGTGTTACATCATCGCAGTTCCCACCAACGCCAATGTAGAACCTGTGAACATGCAGATGATAGCTTCTGTCGGTTGTAGTGAACTCAATGACAGCATTGCTGATTGTGCGGATGAGATTGGCGGCAAGAACCCAGAAAGCCCAATATCCCTTAATTAGTACCTTAAATCACATGAGGGATCCGGGTATCATTTAGGGTATATACTCCCTAATTCAGGGATGAGAGGGCTTTCTGGGAAAGAGGAGATATGTATGTGAAAATTGCGGCGGCCCAGCTCACTTAGGTCTGAGCCCAGTCTGCTACAGCAGGGAGGAATTGCGGAACCCTACTGCGGAGGAAATGGAAACACGATCTTACTATATATTATCAAGGTTTTTTTCGCAACGGCCATACTATTACATAAGGGCTTAGGGTTTTGGGTCAGGAAGACTTTGTAACTAGGCTAATGATTGGGATATCTGGGGCTAGTTTCTGGCTTGTAAGGGTATAAGTACAGTATACTTACTACGTGCCCGTGACCCTGCAAGTAAGCCTTTGGCCGTAAACTAACCCTGAGGCCTTCAGCACCCAACATTGTCAATTCTTGGGGCCCGAGGTTTTCCCATGTTGGTACTTTGGGGCCCAAAAACCTACTGAAAAGTGGTCTCCATGACAGAGGGAGCCCCTAAAACTTTTCCAACATACTACGTAGAGGCTGTGAACTTACTTCGTAGAACTAAGGGGGGCTATGAGCAGGGGAAGCCAAATTAATCCGAGCACTGCATTAATAAAAGGGACCAGATTTAAAGAACAT